ACTGCGGAGTGTTTCTGCAGTGCTCAGGACGATCAGACTGGGAAGAACCACTTCTTATCTCTCTCCATGGACATCTGAGGGGTTTGAAGCTGCAGACATTTTCCACTGATATAACAACAAAGGAACCATAACACAATTGTATTGAAATCATCTCCTATGCTCGTTTTGAAGAATCAGTTGATGATATTAAACCTTTATTTATTTGTTGCTGAAAACAGCTGACATCTTCTTTTCACTATAAGATATAAACATTGCATGAACTAACTTCTTTTTTAAATAAGATTTAAGATTCAATATTCAAAAGGCTTTAATCTATCACATAAAAATATCTGTTGCTAAGGGCTAGCAAACAATAACTCAATAAAATGTTAGGAACAGGTGTGCCAATCTTTTTTCTAATCCGTCTATTTAGCCTTGAATAAAATGGATATTTCTGAGAGAGCTGGAGTGACATAAAGGGTTTTTAACTTCTGTTGTCATCCAAGTCCTTTTAGATTACGTATCTGTCAATCCAGAGTCTGATTTGATACTTATATGTGTCTAAATGTAGAATAAATATCCGTCAGACACATCCAGTAAATGTGGCACTTTATTTATGAGCCACTTGATAAAAATACTGAAGGTCCTGGTTCGAAATTATTCAAATACATTCACATTTTAGTTTGTACTGGCAGTGAATCGCTGCACTGTAGAGTCAGGCTGTCTTGAAGCAGCACTGCCAAACTAGCAGGTTGATATATCCAAACAAAATATAGAACAGTAAAGAAAGGGAATTTAAAATGTAGATAAAATATGCTCAGGTACCCATCAGCTCTGGACAAAACTCTAGATTTATAGCGATATTTCTTAGACACTTCCCAGTACATGCAGGATTTATACAGCATACATTCATGTGGGAAAGGTTGTAGGGTACTTCCAATACAACTTCCTCCACACTACCACCTTGTCATAGACTGCAGGCGGCCATCAGAACAGCCTCTCAGTGCCAGTGCACGCTCGAGTAAGTCTCAGACATAGTGGTCCTCCACATGTTTTAAAAATCCAGCTGAAAAATATATGTGACAGCACTGCAGGACCCCACAGTCTCCTCTGTGGAATGAGAGAAGAGCTTACAGTGTTGGACAGGCTCAACGAGAACCTGCCGGAGTCTGCTGTCAGGGTTTGAGAATCACAGCATTGCAATCTCATTAAACCAACAAGGCCTTTCAGTCAGAGCCCTGAGAGCAGCAGCAGCAGCAGCAGCAGCATTGTGTTTTTATTTCCGTACTCCCTGCTCTGTGCATATATTTCCTTATTACATAAAAAGGAAAGCAGGCAAGAAAATATATGCATGAAAATTATTTTTTCATAAAAATGTTTCATGAGCCCTCATTATTTCCACTGCACAAGGAATCTTATTTATGAACTGAACTTACCTGCAGCTTTTTTATTACTCTTTATGTAGTTCCCCCCCCCCCCCCTGTTTTGGCATACTTTAAAATGGGTTTTTATCACAAATCCTCAGCCTTTTACCAAGTTGTTGTTTGGCACTATTACCGGCTGTTAAGTGGACGTAAATAAGGATTTGACAGAGAAGTATATAAAGCCAGTCTTCTAGAGAATAAGCTATCTCGGATTTCCAATGGCAGCCGGACATGCGTATCTAAACAACCTACAAATGTTAACCTGACATGTTGTCTTGCCTATAGCCGCTCCCCATTAATCTAAAGCAAGGCGCCTTAAATGCAGATTGATGGGCTGCTGTGTGGTTGAGGATTGCTTTACGCCGTGCAGAGCTGAAGGATGATTCATGGATATTGCGGTGATAAAGGACGTAGTTCAGGGCAGGCAGCAAGACTCTCTCTGTGGCTACCAGCGCTGATGGTTTGAAGGCTGATTGAGAATGCTAATCGAGGAGTTTTAATTTGTTTACATGTATTCTTTATTATCATTATCCTACTTTGTCAGCTGAAAATGTCAAACAACCTTTACCCATTAGTTAACTTACTATGTAGCCAACTTACTGCATGGCATATTAGGGTTAGGGTTATACACTGTATGGATTTCAGAATGTAATATTGTGAGTTATTTGGCAAATAAGTGACTGATGTCTGCTTATGACATGGCTGGTGCTATTTAATGTAATTTAAAGGGGTGAATAAAATGTTGCTTTTAAACTGGAAGATGCAGACACATGTATCCAACTGTTAGACAATTGACCTAAGCAGATAACTTCTCAATTGTCAATTTTATTCCCATTAATGCAAATAAATTCCTTTTAATTCACACAGCTTGAATATTACCAAAATTGTGTAACCCTAATCAATACAATTATTTAAAGTGGACCTATCATGCTATATTTGAATAATATAGTGTAGGACCATACCTATATAAGGCATATTTATACTTTTTTTTTTTCAAAATACCAAACAGATCATGCATTTTAGTCATGCCTCATTTCGCTCAATTTGACAATTTCTAGCTCTGTTTTAGCAAGGGCTGATTCTGTGAGCAACAGCACCATCTACAGGCCTGGCATATGTACTACAGCGTCTCCAGCGCTTTCGAACGGCAATGGCCGTGGCTGTCTCCTCCTGATTGGTGGAGTTGGCCCAATAGCCGTAGCGCCACTGTCCTGACGTCAGGACAGTGTTCAAATCTGGATCAGTTTTTATCAGATCCGTTGCAGCCCCTTTTTTAGAGATTTGGGTATGGAGGAAAATAGAGAGGGTTGTGTTTTCTGACACTTGGTGAGTTCCCTGGAACACCGGGGACACATATTCATGTATAAAAGACGTACAAAAGTGCATTTTGCATGATAGGTCCCCTTTAAATAAAATTACTGCTACTCAACCAGCATGTTCAAAATGCACTTTCATGACCCTTCCTGTTACAAAAATGTATTTTGTGCTTTTTTCATTGCGCTAAATACTAGGCAGCCCTTGCATGAGAGTATTAATGCACTCCAGGTTCCCAGGATATCTTTTTTATGGCATCATGTCATGAATCCTCGCTTTCATATTTCATTCCCTTATAGCTGTATATCTTGCTCAAAAGACTAACCAGAGCTGGACTGGCAGCTTCACTCATTAACAAGATTTACACCCAGGTGTCATCAGCCCGTGTTATTCCAGCCAATCAGGTGCCATGTTTACAACCTTGCTTACTGCTACTGATGACCTATGAACACTTTATAGCCCTAATCTTCTTGATATACTACCTGTTATACATGAGGAAATAAATATAGTGTATAAGATACCACAGTCACTCTACAACCTGAATATAAATGCAGTGTCACACTGAGTCTGCTTTACATAGCAAAGAAGGCTGTCATGTTTCCTTTTATATTTCAGTCCCTGTTTGTGTGACAATCTGAAGTCTGACAGGACGACTTAATTATAGACGAGAGACAGGTGGAAACGGCGTTTTACATTTTTATTTGGGATGCAGTTTAAACCCTTCATTGTCTCGCTCTGTCATGCACAAGATGTTCTGTCGGAAAAAAGGCTCTTATGTAATGAGTCCTATCCAAACATCCAAGGAAGCGTTTGCTCCGAAAGTAGGCCAGTAAAATAATTACTCAGATGAGTAGAAAGGGAAAAGAAATAACAGAGAAGACGAAGGAGAGGAATGAATACGGTTTGTTTGATATAGATTATATATATAGACTGTCCTTAACCCATACTGGGACTAAATCATGTTTAATACAATTCTTCCTTAGTACTCCTTATTGCAACACATTATAAAGATCCTTAGACCAGTGAGTCTTCGCAGACAACAATACTCATCATGCCAGTAACCATGGTGACCTACTGTAAAGTCGAGCTGTGCGGACTATTGATCATTTTCCGAGCTGGCATTGTTATCATCCAAACAATCCCCTTTCCCTCAGGCGACTCTCACCTGCAGCACCCTTCAAATCGGAAAAATGTTCATCAACATTCATGTACATTTCCTCTCTCATTAATTACATCTTGACCCGATAAGATGTTCTAATCGATATTAATAAATCAAGCATCGACTTCTCCTGATTCGAGTCGATGCTGTTTTGTTTTTCTGAGTCTGTAACCACCACCTAATTTGTCACAAGGACGTCAATATGTCTATAACTGTTGGGAAAATACTGAATGTCCTCTTCCAATATCAGAGTACACATGACAACAAAGGTATCCCAACTGTAGCTGTGTTCATGACAGGATGTATGATTACCTAGAAGAGCATCAGGACTGTTTTAGGCATATGATAGCTATGTGATTAACATGATGATTCAGCCTCTATGGAGATACACATATGACAAGCATGCTCATTTCTGACGTGGAGCTAATCTGAAGTAAACATTGAATACTGCTTTCTATTCCTCCATCTTGTGACTGTGTAACTCCCTCTCTTGGATATCAGCATGTGAAGGACACTGTTCAGGAACTAGTTGATGCTCTGTATGTGATGACTGCTTTTTTGAGATTTTGGGGAAAAAAGTCAGAATTTTGAGATTTTGAGTAAAAAGTCAGAATTTTGAGATTTTGAGAAAAAAAGACAGAATGTTGAGATTTTTAGAAAAAATACAGGATTTTGAGATTTTGAGAAAAAGTCAGAATTTTGAGTTTCTGAGAAAAAAAAGACAGAATTTTGTGAAAAAATACAGAATTTTGAGATTTTGAGAAAAAAATACAGAATTTTGAGATTTTGAGAAAAAAGTCAAAATGTTTAGAAAAAGTCAGAATTTTGAGAAATAGTCAAAAACCAACATTTTGAGAAAAAACTCAGTATTTTGTTCATGACAGGATGTATGATTACTTAGAAGAACCGGTATTCCTCCATCTTGTGACTGTGTAACTCCCTCTCTTGTATATCAGCATGTGAAGGACACTGTTCAGGAACTAGTTGATGCTCTGCGTGTGATGACTACTTCCATTCTTGAGAGGATCATACATACATGGATCCTGAGATTGAAGCTCAAGCCGGTGATGAGGGATATTTTTCTAACTATAATCTTGTGACATGAATCCCCTCTTCCTCCCCAGACACCCCGTTCAGAGAGGGTCAGGAGCGGGACCTGAAGAAGGCTCTGAAGGGGACGGACCCCTCCATCCCACTGGTGTTCGTCAGTGGGAACCACGACCTGGGGAACACCCCCACCCCCCGGACGCATGAGCAGTTCTGCAGTGCCTGGGGGAATGACTATTTCAGCTTCTGGGTAAGACCTGAGAATATTTCATTAGTAGTAGAAGTATATCTAGTACTAGTGGCTGTGGCTTGGATGGCTTATTATGATCGTAAGCACATTTACGCTAAGGGATTTACCTACACGTGCTTACCTTGCACATATTTCTGCTTCCTGCTAACAGGGATGAAAACAAACACATGGCCAAGTAATACCCACACACCAAACTATATTCCAGTTATATTAAATGTGTTTGCGTGTGTGTTTAAATGGGCGCTATTGTGCTTTTTAGGGTTTCCCCTTCCTGTTTGTGTGCATGTAAATGGTCTGCAGAGGCTCAAATCTAAGCTAAAATATTATTATAATTTTTGTTTCTTCATGTCCAACAACTGCTTTTGGATTTGAGCCATTTATAAGGCATGTATCTATGCATACAGTATGGACAAACTACATACATAAATACCATTAAGCTGGGCTGTACCCAATGTTTTTACATTTTGGATCAAGCTTTGAATGTCTGATAGAATAATTTACTGCCATGTGTGTGCCCTCCTTTGTGTGCCGAAAGATGGAGGGCAAACATTCATTTACATGTCTACCCACTTGAACAAATGCTAAAGGTCAAATGCCAACCTCTACCTCAGGGCCGTTCTTACGGGCTCTATTTTCTAATGCCATAAGTTGTTTAAATGATTAAAGAGGATTTCTCATCAATGTTTTGTGCAGAAGTTGGGAATTAGTGCAGTAGAGAAGTGACTGTTATTTTGTATATATTGATTGTTGTGCTTTTATTTACGTTTGAATGTGTGCATATGTATAAATGTGTCTGTTGATTGTGTATATATAGGTATAGTCTGGTATAAACTGAAAGATTAACAATGAAGTTGTCTTTGACTTTGAAGTGAAAGGAAATGTATAGATGGTAGAAATAGAAATGACTCCTTCTTACTACATAAGCTCTTATAGTTTGAAGCATGTGTAAGTAACCTCTCTGTCTCTTCCCTCTCTCTTGTTGTCTCAGGTGGGCGGGGTCCTCTGCCTGGTTCTGAACTCCCAGCTGTTCCACGACGCCTCGGCTTGCCCTCAGCTGAAGGAGGCCCAGGAGACGTGGCTGGAGGAGCAGCTGAGCCGAGCCTCCTCCTCAGCGGTAAGGCGGTCCCGTAATGAGGACTTTCAGCTGGATAACGCTCTCTATTCCCGGATAATTGCTGCCGTCTGCAGCCAGTTTGACACAACGGTTTAACTCTCTGTGTGATGTTAAACCAGGGGTGTCCACACTGCGGCCCGGGGGACCAAATGCGGCCCGTGGACCATTTTGAATCGGCCCTCAGCAAATTAAAAAAGTATAATGGAATATGGCCCACAAATGAAACTTGTGCTTGCTTATTAGGGGTGGGAATCACCAGGCTCCCCACCATACGATACTATCGCGATACTTAAGCCACGATACGATAGTATTGCGATTCTACGATATGCTAAGTATTGCGATACGATATATTGCGATATTGCAAATCCCATGCGTCATATCTATGTCCGTCTTCCCTGCCTGGTTAAAAAATGTGTTTGCAATATGAATAGTTGATGTAGATAACACAATTTGTGTTCTTTGAACCTGAAAAGGAGATGGCATTGTTTTTGTTACTTTCATTGCAATTGTATACATGTTTTAACGTAACTTCCTGTTTTATATACGACGATCGATTATTTCCCCCACCCCTATTGCTTATATTGTACTTCTTCAATATGAATGTAAACATATATTACACAGTAGTATTCATGTGTTAATACGACCACTTTTCAAATAAATTCAGTCAATTCAAGTTGGAAACATTTTCTAACAAATCTTAGTTGATAAGAAAAAAGACTTGTTTCCATAACAAGCTTGAAATAAACCCTTCCTATTTCTCCTTATTATAATCAATCTGAGGTTTCTGTTTCAAGGGATGAGCTGCCAACACTCACACGCATCATTTACCTACAGTTGATTGATTTTGCTAACTTATACCTGAACTTATGAGGCGATATACCTCTAGTGAGCGGCCCAGCCCTTCGTATAGTTTTCTGTATGTGGCCCTCGGTGAAAAAGAGTTTGGACACCCCTGTGTTAACCCCATCCTTTCACATGTGTCTTTGTCTAGGAACCCAAACCCAAACACGTCCTGGTGTTTCAACACATTCCTCTGTACCTGAAGACCCCCGATGAGGAGGACGACTACTTCAACCTGAAGAGGGAGGTCAGACAGAGCCTGCTGGAGAGGTTCAAGAGGGCAGGTAGGACAGCAGCGCTCTTTCCTCCAGTAACTGTTAAAAGCTGCGCAATATTGGATGAAAATGTACTGAAAAAGTACGATAATTAGTTTCCTGCAATTTGAAAAATAGAAGAATGTTCACCAAATAATGAGGAAGTACATGATCTTTCAGTAGCTCAAATATTTCCATTCAAACAAATACTGTTTTTGGTATTTTCCCATGTTCCTCGTAAATGTTTGGTTGTCGTCAAATACTACCGGCCTCCGATTTGGTTGTTTGATCAATTAATTAAGAATGATGGTGATTGGTGGAGCTTGCATGTCACTCATCTGGAACAAACTCCAAAAAAAGGTATCTAAAGTGTATCTAAAATCAAATCAGACTGAGGGTGTTTCTCAATGTCGAGGACGCTTGCTTGGTAGCACATGTACCTCCGAGTCAGGTCCTTCAGAAGCGAGGCAAGAATCCTTCCTAGCCTCGGAAAACGAAGAATGGTGGAACAGGCTAACAGGTGTGCAGGTGTGCGTCATATGAGAGGCCCCGCCTTAAATGGAGCGCGATTTCCGCCAAAGATTTGGAAATTGGTCCGTGCGCAAAGCATTGTGGGGATTTTAAGACCGAGGAGGATGCACATGTGCAGCCTAGAAATTTCCCGCTACGAAGTACGCTGGCCTCGGTAGAATTCCAGGTATCCTGGACATTGGAACAGTCCTTCGGTGGGACTCGATGACGTAGTATCCTTGAAATAGTGGCTCTGGAGGAGCCTTCCTCGACATTGAGAAACACCCTGAGACTCAGATGACTTTTGAACACTATTGAAACGATACATCGTGCATCCTTGTTTTAATGTGAACAAACTCACTGTAACAGAGCAGGTTACTCCACTATTTTGTTCATAAGCACTTCAACATAACAGACAGTATGCATAGTCTCTTTGAACTACTAGGTTTTCCAATCCAGATGTTTATTTGTCAAACAACGGTCTAACTTCAAGCAAGAAGTCACAAAAGAGATAAGAAAGAGTTTTATTCTTTAGTCAAGCCGTTTCCAAAACCCTTTCTGTATATAAATGGGTTTAGGCCCCTGTGAAGTGGTCTTAAACTTCTCGTCCTAAAACCTCTTAGCTCATATTCCCGTTAAACCTGAGCATATCTTTCTGAAGCAGAGTTAAGATCCCAGCCCAGAGGATTAATATGCCATTAGCCCGAGCTGCAGGAGCACACACGGGCGTAATTGAATTAATTAATGCATTCACTCCCTATAAGAATAATAATTCCATAATCAAAAGTCCTTTGTGGTCGGCTTATAAGAGTCTGATACAAGGGTATCTCTCCGGGAAACTCTCACAAGGACAGTACGTCTATAAGAACACACACTCATGTTCACTTCACACACACTTGTGATTGACAGGAGGACACGTGTCATGCTTCTCAATCATGCATCAAGGTGACTGTCGGGAGAGGGTGTTAATTTCATTATCCAGACGTTATTCCGGCATGTATTTAACCATGTTGGCCCGTTTTGGTCTGATGACCCCTCTCCCTCATAATTGATTGCTCCTCTCAGGGACGCCTGGTTAAAGATTTAAAGGGCAGGCTTTTTGTACAGAGGGTATATGTATCTGTGCAGAACATTTCTTATCCACACATGTCCTGCCAATTATAAAGTCAAACTACATCCAGGGCATGTAGCATATGAACTCTATACGTCCACGTTTATTAATAATTGATGCGCTACATGCTGTCGCTCGATGTAAAGCCACATACACGACATGACTGTTATGGCAGAATCTTTATTACAACGTATTTCTGGCATATTCATTAAGGTCACATGGTAAGCTATATGTGACCCGCTCTATCGAAATCAGTCGGAAGTCGCAACGGCTCATTTAAAAATAAACGTGGATTTGCGTAAAAAACTATTTTTTCAGGGTTCGGGTGTTTTGTTTGATTTTAAATAAACAAAGTCTTGGCTTTCAGAATATGAAACTTTTATTTCCAAAATCACACGATAAATACATTTTTGAAGCTTGTAAAGGGAAGATGACAGGCACCTCTCAATCGCAATCTGCTGTTCCACAGCGCCGCCCCCCCTCCCTCCGGCTGACATTATGAATGTAAGGCATATAGTAATCTAGATAACACGGCAGGGTCCGTTACAGTTTGTTTTCATCTGATTTCAAATAAACAAAGTCTTGGCTTTCAGAATATTAAACTTGTTTCGGCAAATGTAGATGATAAATACAACTTTGAAGCTTGTGACGGCATAATTACAAGCGGAGAACGGAGTAATTTAACGTCACAGCAGGCATAACAACAGCCGGTGTTTCTCGTGAGTGTTTTCCCCGGGAAACAAACACAATATACACAAATGCAAAAATACACAAACACACACACACACACGTATACACACACACACTCGCGAGCTTCCCCCAGACCAGTAATCCAAACGGAAATATTTTCCCTCCGGACTATTTTGATCATTTGCTAATAATCAATCAGATCGATGGATTCCAGAGAAGAGGAAACTTTGAAGGCCTTTTTCTCAAAGTGATGACTCGGTGACAGTCATTATATAATGTGACATATTTTGCTTAATATTTGGAGTACAACAACAATCCTGTAGTGATATCATTAGAAAGCTATGAATCTCCTCTTTCCAGCAGTGTATACAACTCAAAATGTGTCTCCGGGTCAATGCGACTGATTTCGATAGAGCAGGTCACATATGATGTGTGTTACTGACTTGGGTCACATTTTAAGTGAGCTGACATCGAGGTTAGAGGAAGTTCAGAGAAGGCCTCAGGTTATAAAAACAGTTAACCTTTGTTAGTTGACTACTCCTAAAGGATGTCATGAGATAAGTAAACTGTCGACATCTGGAACATACAAGTATAGCATTCAGAGGCAGAACATGTTGTGTGTTAGCTAATGTAAGGAAAATGTGTGTGCGTCATGTCAGGAGTCCTATACATGTCTCTGTAAAGTTCTACTGGGTTGGAGCATTGCTGTAGGACTGCTTGAGAGCAGAGGTAATGTTTTCCTCGTTATTGATTGTTGTACAACGAAATAATAATTGATCAATTATATCTGTGTTTGTGTTTTATTGATTCCTCTCTGTTTCATTATTTCCTGTTGTGCTAAATTGCCACAACATGACTTTCTCATTATGTTACATTACATGTTACTTGTTAGACGCTTTTATCCAAAGCGACTTACTGACATACTCAATACTGTGGACAATCCCCACAGGAGCAATTTGGGGTGAAGTGTCTCAGGGACACAACGACATGCTGACTGCAGTGGGGTTTGAACCTGTGACCCCTTGATCCGAACACCAACGCTCTATCCACTGCGCAACACGCCTCCTCTCATGTACACTATGTGGTTCCTCCGATTCCTACCAGAGAAAGGAAGTGATTTGGCGCCGCCTGTAATATGTATCATATTTCACTTCCTTCCAGTCATGTCCTATACATAACATTGTGTTTAGGTTCAAATGTCAAGCTCTGTCTCTTGAATGTATCCGTACATTTCTACTCTTCTGGATGGAGAACTTCAACTTTCCTGTGGAGTTATCCTTCCATTTTGGCGTGTTTTAAAACATTAGTAGTGATTATAGAAATCCAATGTTCCTTATGAAAACTCCAAAATAAGCTATTATACAGCGCGGCTTTGTCATTGTTAGCAGCTCTTGATAAGTCAGCTTAATGTACTAAATCTTAAAGTAGAATTGGATGACTTGACAGGAGGAATCAAACCAGTTATTATTGAATTATACAGCCTTTTGTCCCGCAGTTCTTTCAGCGCTCCTTTCATCCCCCGGTTTCTCTTTTATGTTTCCTCTGCTCCCTCCTTTATCTCCTAGGAGTGTCTTAGTTACTGATGTCTGTGCTCTGGATCTACTGTATGTCCTGGAGGCATGCTTGTAAAGAGACTGTCATCATTACTGTACTACGTGTCAGTTTATATAGCTGCTACTGTACATTCCTATCAGATAATGGTCATAAACATGTTTTTATACTTCGCTCCGAACTCTAGCTCCACCATATGGTTGATATTTGTGTCTTTAAAGAGTCCTCTCCTGCTGATGTTCAGGTGTCTCTACTTTAAAGAGTCCTCTCCTGCTGATGTTCAGGTGTATATCAGTATGTAGTGTCTCTACTTTAAAGAGTCCTCTCCTGCTGATGTTCAGGTGTATATCAGTATGTAGTGTCTCTACTTTAAAGAGTCCTCTCCTGCTGATGTTCAGGTGTATATCAGTATGTAGTGTCTCTACTTTAAAGAGTCCTCTCCTGCTGATGTTCAGGTGTATATCAGTATGTAGTGTCTCTACTTTAAAGAGTTCTCTCCTGCTGATGTTCAGGTGTATATCAGTATGTAGTGTCTCTACTTTAAAGAGTCCTCTCCTGCTGATGTTCAGGTGTATATCAGTATGTAGTGTCTCTACTTTAAAGAGTCCTCTCCTGCTGATGTTCAGGTGTATATCAGTATGTAGTGTGTCTACTTTAAAGAGTCCTCTCCTGCTGATGTTCAGGTGTATATCAGTATGTAGTGTCTCTACTTTAAAGAGTCCTCTCCTGCTGATGTCCAGGTGTATATCAGTATGTAGTGTCTCTACTTTAAAGAGTCCTCTCCTGCTGATGTTCAGGTGTATATCAGTATGTAGTGTCTCTACTTTAAAGAGTCCTCTCCTGCTGATGTTCAGGTGTATATCAGTATGTAGTGTCTCTACTTTAAAGAGTCCTCTCCTGCTGATGTTCAGGTGTATATCAGTATGTAGTGTCTCTACTTTAAAGAGTCCTCTCCTGCTGATGTTCAGGTGTATATCAGTATGTAGTGTCTCTACTTTAAAGAGTCCTCTCCTGCTGATGTTCAGGTGTATATCAGTATGTAGTGTCTCTACTTTAAAGAGTTCTCTCCTGCTGATGTTCAGGTGTATATCAGTATGTAGTGTCTCTACTGTAAAGAGTCCTCTCCTGCTGATGTTCAGGTGTATATCAGTATGTAGTGTCTCTACTT